TTTCCTTGGTCAACCTGTTTTTTCAAGGGTGTGAAATACGTCGAAGTCCGTACGTCTGAACGATAAATTGGTTAGCCTTTACAAAGTCATAACACGACGAAGACTGTAATCCACAATACAATACTTTTATCCCTGGCTCTCCTTTTCCCTGAAGATAATAATTGTATACTTAGCGAGCTCTTACTAATTTATGATTGAACACTTCTTTTGTTAACTAATTTCCTATGCAAACTTTTAAGATGCAAAATATAGTAGTAACCTTGGTTAATTGGTATACCAATCTATCGCCCTGATTTATTTCATTTTATGAAGGCCTATTCTCCAAGTATACTTACCGTATTTCCTTTTGGTATTCACTAGTTATGTATACTATTATATGTTACCTTATTTTACAGTTTTTTGACTCAACCCTTTGCTTTGTCAATGTATATTAAACGTTTGAGTCACATAGTATGAAAGATATCACTCTCATAAAAAGCACGTTTCATAAAAGCTGTACATACCGGCTGTAGAAATAATATGATAAGTCCAAAGTCATTACTCTCCCGCGCGATAATTCTATGGTTAGTGACTTCTCATTTATCTATATTCTATGGATGGACAACTCTTTTGTTAACTAATTTCTCATGCAAGTTTCACAATGCAGAATACAGTAATATCCCTAGTTAATTTGTATAGCCATCTATCGCCTTGATTTTTTTTCAATTTATGAAGGCATACTCCAAGTATACTTGTTTCTTTTTGGTATTCACTAGTTATTACTTATCGATTTTAATCGGTAAGTATGTTGATAGGTATTTGTCTGTCTGTTAGATGCACGCGATATCTCACGAAAGCGAGATTGAACCAAAAGCATATTGATTTTGGGCGAATCATGTCGTATAATTAGTGATGGGACACAAGGTGTCACTATGGAGTAAGAGCGCTGTTTTGGGGGATCCCAATCCCCCTTTCGATCGATAAGTCTTCGGTCTCTGACCGATATTCTCGTTTAGTAGTTGTAGTTGTATTATATTATATGCTTTCTCTTATTTTACAGTTTTTTATTCGACCCTTCGCCTGACCTTTGCTTCGTCAATAATTCTAATTCTATGCTCTGATTGCAGTAAGGTGAACTCTAAGCGGTAATTTGAGATGTTTATTAAGGTTTTACATCAAAATATCGGCTTTTTCAGTTAAATTGCTATTATTTGCATTTTTATTTTTGACTATTAGCCAGGAAACTTGGGATATTTTGGTAGTATTATTACATGTTTTGTCCCAGAATAATTACTTGTTTTAAATGAATAATATATATATATACCTGCATTAATAAGTGCATTAATAAATACAATGTGCAGATATTAGACAGGCATAGCAGTTTCTACAAATCAGAGAACGGTATTTTCTTCCGCGCGCATTTTTGAATCCATAAACTTCTAATAATTGGCGAATTTGTACCACTTGGCCAAAATAAACAAAACCAAGTGTAACTAGAGCTGCTTGCAGCTTTAACATTTATGATGGGGGACTTATTATCTGCATGTGATTTAAATTTCAAGTCTCTAAGTAGTGTCGTTCTCGAGAAGAAGATGAAAATGTAAAATCCTATATTGCTCACTGGAGAGTATCGCCGAGGTCACTCATGCGTATCCTTGACATATCGTATCCGGAACATGTCCATTAATCATTGTTATGAATTTCAACCCAATAGCATGTATCAATTTCGAGAAATCGCAAAAAAACTGAAGACGCGTTTTGCTCACTGGAGCGTGAAAGCGTGGTCAGTCATGCATAAAATTTGCATTTTATTGCTAGCTGAGAACTTCTGCACATTTGAGGTGAATTTCAAGTTTGTAGGACCAATTTGAAAAAAAAATAATAAAAATAAATAAATAAATAATAATAATAATAATAATAAATAAATAATAATAATAAAACACAGGAATACAATAGGTTCCCTGCTGACAAGCAGCGGGAAGCCTAATAAATTGGGCAATGCCAAACCAGAAGGTTCCGTACCTTCATCATACAGTGGATCATTATTTCGCTTATCTAGCGTCGCCCAGGCACATTTTTTGACATCTGTATTGCATTTTAGCTCACTTTATTTGGCTCAATCAGATTTCTACGATTAGCTGACACTATTATATTCATGAGAGTCAACTTCACGAATTTCTTGGCTATGTATAACTCTCTCGCAAAACAAAGACGCTCCAAAAGTATGTTTACCAATATGGATATAACTAATTTTGTTCGCCTACTTCACATCAAGTTGTGTAGAGGGACTGAAACCTATGGACAGGGGGATAATCAGTTGGGCCGTTAGGCTTACTCAGGGGTGCTCGATAACGAGTATTGGTTTTCCGCGCCTTCATTTCATTCACCCCGAATGTTTCTTTTAGTGTTTACTCCGTATGTACGCTATTATAGGCTTCCCTTATTTCACAGTTTTTGTGACTCAACCCCCTTCCTGGCGTTTGCTTTGTCAATGTACGAGTATATAGTACGTTCGAGTCACAGTATAGTCTGAAATCTTTCGTTTTATTGAAAACTACACGTGTTTAACAATCCATTGATCGATTTTATTTTGGTTATGAACGTCTACTCTCCTTTCACAAAAGTATGCTTGTCATTTATATTTTTATATAGATGGTTGCTCCTGTTTCACAGTTCTTGTGGCTCAACCTTTTGCCTTGGCTTTTGCTTTGTTAATGTTTTAACGTTTTTCATTATTGCAATATTGAAGGTTACATAGATATCATAAAAGCTTCAAAAATAATCCCGAATTCACTTAGGTAATCGCTGAGCAGTAATTTCAGAAGTTAATTTAGATTTTGTATCAGAGTATCAGCGTTTTTTTTAGTTAAATTGCTTTTGAATTTTAACTATTATGCAAGGCACTAGTGATATTTTGTTAGTAATCTTACTTGTTTTATCCCAGAATTAATTACTTGGTTTAAATAAATACCAATATATATACCGAGTGCATTAATAAATACAGTATGCAGATATTAGACAGGCATAGCAGTATACAAATCAGAGAATGATATTTTCTACCTTGCACTTTTTTGAATCCATACCCTTCTAAAAATGGGCGGAATTTGGGTACTCCCGTAGTATGTGTACCGGGTTAGGGTTAGGCCATAATTTTATTTTGATGTTCTATATTTCAGTTATATTACAAACTCGGGGACTGTCTGTGTTGATCAAGTGAATATACTTCCTGCCCATAGGTTTCAGTTCCTTTACACAACTTGATGTAAAGTAGGAGAACAAAATTAGTTAGCTCTATATTGGTACACATACTTCTGAAGCGCCGGAATTTGTAACCACTTGGCCAAATTAAACAAAACCCAGAGTGTAATAAATTGGGCAATGCCAAACCAGAAGGTTCCGTACCTTCGTCATACAGTGAGTGGATCATTATGTATCAGTCGCTGCTTTTACAGAGCCCTCTCGGGGGAGAGGAAAGTCGATAAGATGGTTAATCATATGACGAACCACGGCAGCTTGCCCGGTTACCAGTTCATGTCGGGTATGGAATCAGTCGGGCATGGAATTGATAATGCAGTTCACTTCGGAGTGTATGTTTTTTTATCATAATTTGTGTACAATGACTAACCGAAAAGAATCCAGCCTAGCAGGTGTTTTTATACAAAGCCCCAAGGAATTAAAAGCCTAGTACAAAAAATGCACCGCTTTCGCTTCTCTAGCGTTGCCCAGGCACATTTTTTGACATTTGCACTTGCATTTTAGCTCGCTTTATTTGGCTCAATCAGATTTCTACGATTAGCTGACACTATTATATTCATGGAAGTCAAATTTACGAATTTCTTGTCTATATTCAACTCTCTCGCAAAACATAGACGCTCCAGAAGTATGTGTACCAATACGGAGGTACTAATTTTGTTCGCCTATTTTACATCAAGATGTGTAGAGGTACTGAAACCTATGGGCAGGGGGATATTCAGTTGGCTAACACTAACAGTCCCCGAACTCGTAATAGAACCATAATAGGGAAAATCGGAATAAAATTATGCCCTAACCCTAACCTGGTACACATACTACGGGAGTACCCAAAAATATCTTTATGAATCGACTCTATGCCGCTATTGCTTATCGTTTGGATTCACATTTAAAAGCAATATGGTATTGAAATATGATACAGTTTATTAATAATGAAACACGGAAATTTTCTCAGCCAGCGTACGACACCATTAGTTGTGCAACTTAAAAAAAGTGAATCGATATGTTGATACAAAGTAACTCCAAGTTACGGAAACATGCGACGACGAATTAGCCAAATTCGGTAATGAAAACCCTCAGGCAGATATTAATTGAAAATCAGCAGCCAAAGTGGAACAACGGAATTTGCCCCAAGCGTTCAAGATGAAAATTAGAAAAAGTAATCAAATAAAGTGCTTTCATACATAGTGGTCGAATAATATAGAGTCCTGAAAAAAGCGAAGGAAGTAATTGAAAGCAGAAGGTTGGAAATCACCGGAATAAAGTATTTCAGTGAAATAGCAAACATATATGTAGTTTCTCTTTACACTCAAATCTAACGAAAAAAGATATATCTGCAAAATACAGCGTGGCCCAAAAGTAGGTATACAGTTATTAAAATTATTAAACAGTAAAATAGTTTAATAACTGTATACCTACTTTTGGGCCACCCTGTACATGTTACGAGATCCACAAGATCCAAGTATTATTGTTTGGCAATAATATTGTTGCCACATGTAGGCGCTGTTAAGCCGAGTTCGCCGCCATTAATGGATATTGCACCATACTTTGCTGCTGTTTTGCTGCCAAGTCAAGTTTTGAAAGTTTCTTTGTGTTGGTATTATTGTGATTTAATTATTGCTGTTTATCTTTTAGATGACTTAGACATCTAAATTAGTTAGTAACTGGATTTTATTTGGTTGTTGCCCTTGGTGTTAAGATATTGTGCCGTACATTTGTTACTGTGAAGAAATTGTGCTAATGTTTCCAGAATGTATTATGCAATAATTTTTGGGTAAGAATGCTAGTATTTTAAGTTGCATAATTTGAAGTTCACTGATGTATGTGTATTAAATATTGTCATTGTTAACAGATTGTGAAGTATTCTCGTGGATTCACAAAGTTTTCTTACCCGGTGTCATAAATATTATCGATATGTTATTTATCTTTGGATCATTGCTGAATTTGGTATTATTTAGTTTTACAAGTGTTCTAAGACATGTTATTTTGTTTTAGAAAACCGTCTTCCATCTTTCATTTCCGTCAATTGTGATGTTTGTGTATTGCTGAGCATTTCATGTTATGCTATCAATTCTTCGAATTACAATTTCATTACAAGTTTTCAACAATTGGTTGTGTTTGGACAAGGATTTGGGAGATGCGTTTTCGATTTGTTAGTTTTCTCTATGTGACACCTTGTGCTACCGGGTCACGTTGAAAGGGAGGTTACAGTACATTGTAAGACTTGAAACAATTATTAAGGAAAAGCTAAGAGAAAAAATAAGACGGAATCTTAACAGTCCCATGTAAAACAACTGTCCTTATTGACTTAATTTTCACAAAGAACGCCGTTATACTCCCAGTCTGGTGCAATATTGAAAATATCTCGAGCGTTCTTTTTTCGAACTTTTCGGACAGTGAAGACAACGTTTGTCCACTGTTATTGGAATAAGGTTTCCACAATTGTTCTGGGAAAGTTGCCTCCTTGCCAGATGTCAGTCTAAGGTTGCCGTTCTGTAGGAATAAATTAAACAGCTTTGAAAAAATTGTTTTGCGAGAAATCGTTTCTCGCAAAAAAAAAAATCGGTAGGTCTCCACTTATATATAGCCACAGTCGTGATTAATCAGCATTACAAAATGTACTGAAGTATGCGCACAAAGATGGCGCACAACCTGAACTCAGGTTGTGTACCAGTTTAGGGTTCAGGTTATGCGACATCTTGGTGCACATACTTCAAGGGCACCCAATAAAGTATGCGAACCAGGTTGGCGAACATCTGAACATAGTATGTGTACCAGGTTAGGGTTAGACCATAATTTTATTCCAATTTTTCTCATTTTAGTTTTATTACGAGTTCGGGGATTAGCCAATTGACTCTCGTAGTATTTGTACCTGAAATTATGGCCAACACTAACCTGGTGCACATACTACGTTCCGGTGTCCGACATCTTGGTTCACATACTACGTGAGTACCCAATAAAGATAAGGAAACATCTCATTTATATCAATTTGAACACACAAAGAATTAATTAGCACACCGTGTACGTCATTCCAGTCCATACGTTGATCAGTGACTGGTCAGCGGGTATCATGGTAACAAAGAAGTCTTGCAGCAGAAGATAATTCATGACGTCATAAACGTTGCCCAGTTTCCATTTGTGCTTTTCGCAAGCAGTCTGAGCATCTTCAAAGTTGGCGTTGTGGGTTGGATATACGATCGCATGGAAACATTTTGACTTATAAAGAATGTCACATCTTCCTAAATAGGTGGAATAAATATAATGTTTGTAAATAAATCAATATTGATTGCTACATTACATACCTGCGGGGGAGGAACGTTGAATACATCTCATAGCCCAGGGTTTCTCAAACTTCTTTAACTGTTCTACCCTAGTAAAGAATCCTGCAGCACACCAACGCAAATGTGTTACAGTTGTAAATTGTTTGCCTGGGGAAGTCTGACTTTGGTCGGACGAAATATTACATTTGTGTTAGTGTGAAGCAGGATTCTTTAATGGGATATAATAGTCATGTTTACTCCTGCTACAGCATCCTTGCAGTATATGCATACGGTCCCACTGGCATAAAGGACAAATAGGGAGTTAATCTCGCACAACCCAACTCAAAGTTTCATAAACTGCAGTACAATTATTATTTCACTTTCGTTTGTTGCCGTTTAGTTCTTAAACATGGCAAATGAAATGAATGGATATTACTTGTTAAAAATATTTGTTTTTAAGTAGAAGAGCGAAGGAGCACGGAGTGTTAAGAATCTTTGGAAGGGAACCGCGGACCAGTGAAAGTTTTTAAAACTATACCCGACATGGACTGACAACCGGGTGAGAGGCCGTGGTTCACCATATCATATGTTTTCTCCCGCGATAAATATGAAAATCCTATCCTAAATTTCATTTTGTATTGTCTCTGTTTGCAATTTCATTAATTTAACTTTTGAACAGCCGCGATAAACATCCTTCGACTTAAAAAATCCAATAAAACTATCTCCTGAAGTATTCGACTAAACATTACCTCGTACTGAGGTTTCAAAATTACTTCAACCATAACGGTTCTAACCTTTTTGCTTCATTTTCAGATCCCGCTTCATCAATCTGGCAATCTCTAAACGAAACAAACGATATATCGCCAGTTATAGAAATATAGTGTGCAGGAAGAATAAATTAATATCTGTCTGAGCGAAAGAAGTGTCTTAGCGGCTTAACGAGTAGTGATTGTTACGTCAATGTTGACTCATTTCTGATTGGTTATTGTTAGGAATTGAACAAGGCAATCGATGCTCGGGGAACCATCCATTAAATTCGACTCAAACTTCAGCACGAGGCATTGGTAATTTAGAATAGTCCAGTGAAATTATTGCAATGTGCATTTAATATGTTATAATTTCTTCAAGTTCAAATAACTGAAAGTTTTGAAATAATTCATCTATAAAACACTTCAGATAACCACACGACTTTGACAAGCGCGAGCAATTCAATAATAACCAAACTAGGATTGTGTGGAAGTGGAATTCGTGTTGGTTCAGGATAGATGTATTACTTTGGCAAAAGGTTGAAGCGTTGACTTTATATGGAGTGAGATTCATAAAAATATAGCATGATATTTTTGTGGCACCCGTACGGTGCCATAGGCATTAACGTTGCAAAATGGTACTTACCAGATCCGTCGTTTTTCTGAACCAAAAATTGAATATGTGAACCAAAAATTAAATATGTGAACATTAGGCACGAAGAATTTGGCCCGGCGGTGTGGCGCATCGTGAGAAATACGTTCGCTCCCACACCTTCTGATTACCCAGCGCGGTACCCAGGTCCACTACCTCACTGATCCTTAAAGCATAGGTATTTCCAGTGGGCAAAAATATATAAATACCCGTAAAACCAAAAACCATTCTTACAACATTTTCTTGGAAGGCAATTTTGCGTTATTTGAGACATAAACTTGTACGCCTTTTTCAATAGAATTTTGCTCGATTGCGTGCACTAATCATGAGCGATTCACTGATACTCATGATCAATCCCTTAGCCAAACAAACCAACCGAGATATATGAAATTGCGCATTCGTATTAAGTCTGTAAGCAAGACAGTAATTTTACTCCGTCAAGCAAGAAAATTGTCTGCTGGACACGCTTATGCCTCAAAAAAAAACGAAGAGCGTCTTTCTAAGATACTAACATGGACTGCGCACAGACCACCACCCAAATAATTAAATTTAATTTCATACCTGACAATCACCCACTGAAACCAGTTTGCCTTTAACTAGTTTGATGACACAAACTCCACCTGTGTAAAACAATCAAATGTAAAAATTAAATTGCAGTAACATACAGACCTAAGTAATGAATAATTATTTTGTTACCGAATTCGTAATTTTTAAAAGACGCATACATAATTCATCTCACTTAGTTTTTGGTAATTTTCAAGCATTGCTATAGACAGATAGGGAGAGATACATATTTACTCCGAATTCAGTCGTAAAATTTTAGACTTCGATACCGTCTTCGAAAAAATTAAATTTGGTGATAAAAACTTTGGCTGCGCTTTGTTACTGGTAAAACCTTGGTACTGGTAAAACCACTTAATGAACTTGATGCCTTATTTTGATTTTTATAATCGCCAACGAAAGAATGAAATTCTGACTAAGATAATTCAAAATATATCTTCTCCATTTCGACCCCACCTCACTGCATTGAAAACATGACAAACTCCGTTACCTAGACTGTGGTGCATGGAGTCGATTTTCTTATTTTTACACGGCGATTGCTTGGTTTTTACCGGGTCGCCTTGACGCATCGATTGCGTTTCTTTATTTATTTATTAAGTAATATATTTTGTTCGATTTAATTATATTTATCACGTTTTTGTTAGACTTCCCCGAGGGTGCCGCCGCTCGATAACCAGAATTGGTTTTCGGCGTCTCCTTTCACCCTGGAATGCGGTCTTTTAGATTTCCTTTATTTGTGTATGTATAATTCGTACTTTCAGCTTGGTGAAGAAATAAATTACTGATTACTGATTACAGGTTGTAAATTAATTATGCGTGATTTTTGTGAACAAACAATAACGAAAAATATCAGTTACTTACTTTGACTATTCGTGGCAAAAGCAACGCCAAGGCAGAAAGCCACAAGAGCCCCAAACATCCTCAACATTGTTTCTTAGCGCGCAAGTTCAATTGGAAGCTTATACTCAACTAGATAAATTGAAAGCAAAATACTGGCAACCTTACTCTACCAATGCGGGCAATGAATGGTTAGCTTCAACTAACATTACAGGCTGGAAAGAAATCTAGCATGCATAACTGAAAATTTGTAAATTTACTACGTTTATCATACGATGTGGATCAGCAAGACTTTTATAGATTTTAAATTTTCGATGAACTACGACAGATGCGGCATTAGTGACATGAAATTCTTTCAATAAAGCAGGCTTTGCATTGAAAACGAAAAATTCAGATCACTTTTAAAATTTAAAATACGCGAGAAAACTAGTTATATGGACATTTTTGTTCAGCAGTATAGGATTTGTCATTTCCCTTGCTTCTGTATAAATGCAAATTATGTACAACATGACTCAATCATAGAACACTAAATGTACAAGTTAGCGAAAACAGCCCCGATGCCTCATTTGTTGTTAACAAAGCATTTTGCCATCTTTCTAGTTTCACTATGTTTCTAGGGTAGAGAGCGATCGCGCATTATTAGCCTCACCTATTTCATGGAGTTATTTATTCTGCGCTCCAGAAGTGTGTTTACCAGTATGAAGGTATAATTAATTTTGTTCGCCAAGTTTTGCGAAGGGACTGAAACCTATGGGCAGGGGGGTATTCACTTGGCTAACACAAGCAGTTCCCGAACTCATAACAGAACTAAAATAAGGAAAATCGGTACAAAATCTTGGCCTAACCTGGTACACACACTACGTGAGTACTATTTATTTGAATCTAAGAAATGAGTCTGATAGCATGTGAAATTTATTACCGCATGGCTGTTTTCCTGATCTTACTGACATGAACTGCTTTAATTCTACCACGCAATCCTAGATATAAAATTAAATTTCAGTAGCGCTTGGCACTTCAGTGAACTAGTGACCTACGTCAGGGCCAGTTTTAAATGGTGTGCGGCCCGCGAAACTTGTTTTTAATTTGGTTTAATCTCGTGCGTGCGAATTTCCAATCCCCAATTTATCATCTATGCATATGACGTTACTAACAGTTAGCTAGTGCGAATATACCAACGCATGTCATAAGATCAATAGCCAAAATTTTTGTGCGTGCAACTACTTGAAAGCATATAAAGGTGCGGCCCCTGGTTTCACCCAGTTATTTGCATCTGGCCCACCTGGATTGAAGGTTGCACACCCTTGGACTACGTAACTTCACTCAAAGACGAGTCTCCTATATATCCATGTGAGTGCCCGTATCCCTGAATCGAGTAAATTTCCCCCCAAAAAAGTCATGTTTATCTTCTTTGACATCGTTCGAGAAATCATGTTATACACTAATTTTCGGTTCTTGATTTCAATCTCTTCTCCAAAGCACCAAAGAGAATATCGGTCGAAGACCGGAGACTTATCGATCGAAACTGCGGTTTCGATTCATGACTCTATAGTGACACCGCGTGTCCCATCACTAATTAATTGATAACTCGCTAATTATACGACATAATTCATCCAAAAGCGATAGGCTTCTGGTCCGAGATATGATGAATGTACATGCTAAATTTGGAGCAGATTCAACCTTGCTTTCGTGAGATATCGTGTGCATCTAACAGACAGACAAATACCTATCAATATACTTACCGATCTTAAGATCGATAAGTAATAATGGAAGACTCCAACGCAAGCCAAAAAGCTAAATTTTTTCAATCGATTTGACATTATCATATCAGCAAGCGTGTCGGTCGAATCCACCCAAAATCAACTAAACCTAAGTAGGTGTATGTTGAAATCTAACGCTCGTAAATGCAACACAAATGCTAGTCTGGCGGCTTCTATGGTACATTTTACCTATTGTGCGCAAGCCATCGGAACAAATTTTAAAGTGAAATTTATTCTTGGGTGTATTGATGAACATGTACTGTATATGCACCTCTACCCAATATACAAGAAAGCGCGATGCATAAAAAAGCAATAAGATAATCTAAAATACGATACTGGCGTTTTATGATTTAAAACTTCAGAAATTCAACGGTTTTATCGGGTACTTAAGTGTATCTGAAAGAATCTATTACATATATCATTCCGGTATATAAGCACATTGACTGCCTGAAAAAAGTTACTGAGCGAACATAAGTTAAGTCTTTGAGTTAAATCAGTAAGCGATTGTGTGTGATGTCATAAATGTTCTCTAATTTCCAATTGTTGCGTTTGCAAAGTGCATGTGCGGCGTTGCAGTTGACATTCTACGTTTGGAAGCATTTGGAATTATACGAAAGCGGACATTTTTATGAAATATGAATCCATAAAATAAAGATGAACAAAGTTCTAGCCAACTCTAAACCAATCATAAAACTGAATTCGTTTCGGGTTAAAAATCTTGGTTGACGAAAAAATCAAACTACAGGTTGAAAATAAATTCGATTCTAGCTCCGGGTTTGCTACGAAGTCTGAAATTACGATTCCACAGTACGATTCATCCCCAATTTTAGGAAAATTTAAAAATACCGTGTCGACTTCATGTACTGGAAATTTGTCATCAATCGTTCCATTAGTTGCAGAAAAAAGCGAGAATTTGGAAAAACGATCCATAAGTGCATTTTGTGCCCAACAAAGCATAAGATAACTGTATTGTCGATTTAAAAAGAGATACAAAGTTCATTTTCACATCATACTGTATGATGATGTTCATGACTCAGTCTGACAAATTTAATTACGATTCCACAGTACGATTCATCCCCAATTTTAGGAAAATTTAAAAATACCGTGTCGACTTCATGTACTGGAAATTTGTCATCAATCGTTCCATTAGTTGCAGAAAAAAGCGAGAATTTGGAAAAACGATCCATAAGTGCATTTTGTGCCCAACAAAGCATAAGATAACTGTATTGTTGATTTAAAAAGAGATACAAAGTTCATTTTCACATCATACTGTATGATGATGTTCATGACTCAGTCTGACAAATTTATGTATATCAAGATACTAGTTAACTGACGAATAATATTCAGAAGTTCCGACCGCCTTCATATTATTGCTTACACATACCACCCTCATAAGACAGTCAGCTCATTCTGATGAATGGATGAGAATAAAAATAAAAAAATGTTGATTGAAAATGTCATGAGATTATTTCACGCGAAAAATTCTCAAAAATTTTATTTTAAAATCTAGGTGAAAGTATCAAACCGGGTTGCCGAGACCGCAACTCACTAACCCCGAGACACCCAATAAGAATTAGGATTATACTTCCAACTATGGCTTGCGTTATTATTTTATCTGGAAATTTTAGCACATGCATTTCATTTCCCAATTGCCTGCCAATTCTCCATATCATAGCGAAGTCGGTATTCAATTGGATAATTCACAAGGTAAAGTCATAGGACACCCATTTGATAAATAAAATTTATAGCATCCTAGGCGCTTCAACTTCAAACAGTATTGTGGATTTGAAGTAGGCTTGCACGTAATTGACAAAAATCAATTCCGTAATTACGGCCAAATCGATTACGTAATGACCCCGTAATTGCGATATTTTTTTTCACACTTTTAAACCTATCATAACAACCAATTTAATCCACTTCTATTCCGAATGGGATATCGACAGTTGGGACAGTTTGGTTTTCATATTTCCGCCAGTACTACACGCCGGCGACAGATGCTAAAGACAAATATCGAGGAGTGAATTCAAATTAATTTTATTCTTATTTTTATCTTTTGTGTTAGCTTTGATTTTCCTTTATCAACTTTATCACCCAATTTTATGCGATCAATTTTATCATTACCAACACTGGTAAGTGGTAATATTTATGAAACGATAGTTGACTTTTTTTAATATCGTATTAACGTATTAATACGAGTTTCGTATTAAATAAAAATTCCGGGTTTCTAATTTATAAATTAACGACGAGCGTATTCTCTCGTTTGATTATACTTGCGCTTGCCTCGCGACGAAGACTTGTTATTGTACCGTTTTTTTACATTATCCGACTTTACTACCTAGTTAGCATTTTATAATAATTATTGATGCCGACTTATTGACGATATTCCGATTACCATGCTTCTTTTTACATTAAATCATTTCGCGGCCTAGGTGTTATAACATTATTTGCGATAAATTTAGATCAAATATTAATTATTTGCGCATAATTTAAATACCGTACTTATATGACATGCCTTCTCCGAAAATACAAAGTTATATCGCAAAACAATGCATTTTGTGACACTTATTTTGCACTCACGAAAATATTAAATTACTTTTCTAACTCAAGTCAACAATCCTATCGGCTAAGATCGACACAAGTTTGGTCGAATGCCGGTGGTATTTGAGTCGACGATAAATCAAAATAAGTTGCCGCATTTGGTAAAGACTTAAAGATTTTGTAAAGACATATTTGGCCGAAATAGTGCGAGGCATTGTGAAAACAAGGCCAAGTACGGACAGATATATAACGATAAAACCGGTAACAGAACATCAAGATTTTGTAATAGAAAATGGATCTCGCACAGAATAAACATGGGAAATCCCGTCTTTTTGTTGTTTCTCTGCCGTCTGAGTCGCTTTACCGTTGCCGAAAAGACTAAGTTGCGTTGGTTCATTACGCAATTTCTCTTCCGTCGTCATATTGCTGTTTGATAAGCGCGACATTAATTATCACGGCATTTACAAATAGACCATGTTTGGTAAGTTGATCTCTTACATTCTTTAGTCATTTCACCCGAAGAAGTTGAAACCAGGTGTGTTGGCGTCCATCGGTCTCAACTCAACACAATTCTATCCCATATCTACGCTTAATATGTACATTTGCCATGCTAGATAAGTTGATAATAGGTTAGTAAATGGCAACGCGTTATGCCTTCTCCATCTGCGTAACAAGAGAGAGAAAAACGGCTGCGAATACCGGAACTCTAACAAACTTTAATTTTTTACAATCGACGGAATTGACTGCTCTGAAGAGAGCTCGTTTCAATCGCGAAAGCGCTCGACCAATAATTACGAATTTACGTAATTCGTAACTTCGCTTCCGTAACTCGAAATAATTCCGTAATTCCGTAAATCCGTAAATTACGTGCAAGCCTAATTTGAAGAGATATAAAGTTCATATTTACACCATACTG